CAGCAACTGGGAACATAGAGGATTAATTTGTGAGGAAAAAACTTAAACTAGAAGACAGGTCTGCTCTGTAAAAGACAACAAAAAACACTGTAAACAAGGACACTCAACTCACAACACATCAAGACTTTAAAGCTCTGCAACCTACTTTTTCCAAATTCCTTTGGTAATTCGACAACTTTGCAATTGCATTTACGATTAAAGCTTTGCTACATCGCCTGTAGTATCCATTTCCTGTATTAAAACATCATTTCAAAACACTTTAGTTACTAGTAAGAACTTGCAAGAATAGGTTTAAACTTCACCTAATTGCTTGTAATTCTCATTTCCTTTTAAGTTATTATTTTGTTGTTGAATATTTGATAAATGGTTAACTTCATTTCCTTCATGTTTTTCATTTTCATATAATTTGTCATACATTCTGTGATTATATTTATATGGAACTGCAAAGCTGAGTTGTAGACATGTAAATTTCGATGAAAATAAATGTTCGTCAACGCATTGAATTTCGACATGCGAGGCTTACGTGACATGTACCATGTGTCTCACAAATTGTACACATGACCTATGACTCAACAAAACCGGACAAGTCATCACATGTCAACACTTGGCGGAAAAAAATTATTTGGTTTTAATTTAAATTGAAATAAAATAAAAAAGGCCAAATTGGGGAATATTGATTTTTTTTTTTTTAATTTAAATCAAAAATTGATTGATGGAGGCAAATCATGAACCAAGCCACAAATCAAGTCTAGGTTCTTTTGTCAATTTGTCAACCGTACAATCAAGCCCAAGTTCAATCGTAGCCAAGGCTTGGAGAGCCTATAAATACGAGAACATGACAGAGGAAAGGGGTCTAGAAAATCATTCTCACACCCAGACGCTAAAGCTTTGAAGCCTCTCCAAACTCCTAAATTTCCAAACTCTCAAACATTCAGAAGACTCAAAAAACTCTCTGCGTTCTTATTCGTTCTTGAGAAGAATCATCATGCACCACTACACGTGCTAATTCTTCCATCGTCGTAAGCCAAAACCTTGAGGCGTTTGTTCATTCGAGATTAAGTCATCGCGACCTTCAGATCAACAACACTACAATTTTCTCTTCAAAAATCGAATCAGAGCATTCAAGTTTGTAAATAGATTGTAACCCTAAACTCATTAATACAAATGCAATTACTTTGTACACGTGTTATTGTCTGATTTGTCACAGAAAATTCGCATTTACATGAGTTGAACCAAAATCCACTCACTTTGTGGTTATCACTTGGCAAACACAAAGAAAGTATTTGAAGTTTTACATAACAAGGTATAGAAAATAAATTAACATATATTTTAACGCCTTTATGGCACAATATCGTGATTAGAAGCTGAATTTACTTGTGGCACAAATTTACAATCTAACAATAACATCATTCTACCTTTCTATTGTCTTAGCCCAATAACGGTACACCTGACAATAACAAATAACTCATTTAAAGAGTCTGATGCTCACTCAAGGCTTTCAAAGGATTTTTAAACTGAAAAAGAGTACCAACACTCGCAGAGGGATTGTGATGCCAGCAAGTTCGATCACAGCTTCAATAACTTAAGAAAGTCTTGAGTTTGTTTTCCAATAGGGTCAATGATTTTAGAACCTCACAAATTCATTTTTTTAATGATAATATACCCACGAAGACGGTAGTAGTAGAGTATATCATAAGTGCAGTCCTAATACAATCACTCTATCATGAATGAGTTCAGCTTCCTGTTCACATAATCTAGGTAGCCCTGACTAACGACGAAATATGATATTACCATAATCATCATATTACCAGACTAAATAATTTTGCAAGGCTATATACACCAACCTTCGATGTAAAGCCCTCGTCCCACTACGTATGCTTTAAGCCCTCAAGTTTTCTTGTCTTAGAAAGGTCATCAATGAAAAGCCTCACTTTCAAAGCCTAAAAATAAAGATAAGCAAATCTTGATAAATAAAAAAAAAAGAAAGAAAGAAAGAAAGAAAGATGAGAGAGTACGTTTAGGCGGCTCAAGCTAAGAATACACACATTATGGGTGCCTTTTTGTCTGTCGAAAGGGCATCCAACAATGAAGCCGACGAGAGAAAGCTCAGAAATCTGCATACAGAAGCAAAAGCAATTATAGCTCTGACTCGGGAATTAATGTTAACCAAGGTTTTCAAACAAACTTACAAGAATGACATATGTTGATGCACAAAATCAGCTAGATTTTGGAACAACATAAAGTGTCAAGTTTATGACATTCGCTTGGTTGGTCCGATAGTGAGGATAATATGTAAAGAGATAGAGATAGGGAAGCAAACACAAGATGTACATGGTTCACCCTAAGTTTGGCTACGTCCACCGAGTAGAGGAGTTCTCATTAATAGTGAAGGGTTAGCACAAATACATAGGTTCAAGCATAATTATCATTAGTGGGGTCTAATGATTAATTTAAGTACAATAATGACATTAGGGATTATTGTAGGAGAATGGTCTTTTTTTTTTTTTTTTTTATAGTTGAGGAGGGTTTGGGCTTTTGTCCGCGATCGATGTGGGACTCTAGGAGTTTTATTCCAATGTTGACACATGTCGTGCTATGATTGGCCTCCTAGATGGAAGGAAACTCTTGTGCTTTGGTAGAGGTGCCTCAGCATGAACCTCTTAGTGGATCCTTGAAGGTATGAAGTTGATCAATACTTAGTAGTTTCAAGATTGATCAAGTATGGTACAAACAACATCAATAATGTAATATCAAGTATGACATTTGAAATGTTTGCATGCCTGGTTATATGCTTGTCATACCTAGAAACCTAATGATATTGAATACTTGGGTACCACCAGGAGAACCAAAGTTCCTAAACTCATGAGAAGTTCATCACCAATCACAAAGAAAAACCAAATGCATATCAATATTTTTCAGGCAACACCTAACTGCACATAGCGTAATTCCTAGACTTGCACTCTAAAAATTACTTTATGGGTATGTTTGTTACACTGGACTACTTTGCCATATTGGAGTATTTTGAGTTACTCCCAATTGTATCAAACAAAATGTGTATTTAACAACCTCACTAAATGGACTCGTGCCTCACCAAGTCTTTTTATTTTGACCTTGTTAACCTAAGGGGTCTAATAAGAACTAACCCAACCTTCGTATGTGAACCATAATTTGAACATTTACCGGAGGAAATTATTCCATTACCTCAATCACACCTCCAATCAACCTCATTCTCCCCTCGCCAGAAAATCATGGACAATTCTGACCGAATTACGCCTTCATTCGTGGATGCACGATTTTGGTTCCAACAATATTTATTCAACGAAAGGAAAAGTTCTCCTTTCTCTACTTATATAATATCATTTAATGAACAAACATAAAAATGAAAACCGTTCCAATCACTTTGTCATCAAAATTATATATAGAAATATTTCATTAGCTTTGAATACCATTTAGCTATTCATATATATCAAAGAAATCAACAGATATATAACAAGTGGCATGCTCATGAAAAGTTGATTTCTTTGAAACAAAGTCGTATAAATTTTCTAAAAATGGTCTTTAGACAATGATTAAGAGAATGCATGGTTTTAATTATGATGTTATTTTGAGAAATAATGCATCACTAATAGGAAATGTGAACTTTTCTTCTTACTAATATTTTCATTTAGAGAATATTCTTTGTGCAACTAAGTGCATGGAAGCAATGTCATTAGGCCTGACAAATGGATCATGTTTGTTGTGTTCCTGTCGTTTTCGTGGCACCTGTTATGGGTGCAACTTGGACGGGTTGAAAGGTCAACCCAATCCTAACCCAACTTTTACAATTCGGGCTTGGGTTTAATTGGGTTGGGTTCGGGTTCCCAACTTTTTCAAGTTTAATCCTGTAATAACTTAGTTTCCAAGGATTCCTAAAAAAAAAATTAAGCCAAGTAGCATCAAAGCTAGCTAACTTTAATTTCATAAATCAATCAAAGTTGATGAGCAATTGCTTCAAGACACAACGAATTTAGGTTTCGGAGACTAACAATCTACTATAAAGCTTTAGGATTTAGAGACTACGAATATGGGCTGACTAATCAAAGTATCATATTCCCTAAAAGCGTAATTATAAAGGGTAATTTATGTATATATTAGAAAAGGCCATTGGTTTTTGGACTTGGCCCACTTAAGTATAGTATGAGCATTAATTGATATGGGTTCCAATTTGGTTAGATTGGGTTTAGTTAATCGGGTTGGGGATGTATATGCAAATGATCAACCCAACTCAACCCAATAAATGGGTTGAAATTGAGTTGGGTTTGGGTGGGTTATAATTAAAATAAAAAAATAAAACTGAAAATTGCTTGTTCGGGTTTAAAGTCGAGTTGGACATGGGTGGGTTCAGATTGGCCCAACCCAAGTTGCACCCCTAACACAGGTTATTTTAACGGGTCGTGTCGTGTCACACTCATTATCTTAGCGGTTTCTTAACAGATCGGATCACTTTACCTATTAAAATAACAGGTAAAATGATCCAACCCGTTTAACCCGTTAAGGAAAAAATATATATTTTTTAAAATTTGCACATAACACATTGTCACATAAATATTTCTTCAAAACATAAAAACACAGTTGTCATTAAGTACTACATACTCCAAAACAAGAGCCCAATGAAAAAGTATCAAACTCTACTACAAGATATCAAATGTGCAAGGATATGCTAAATAAAGGAGTTTTTCTTTTCAAGGTTGTGGAACTTTCTCATAAGTTAAAACCTTGTCAATGAAATTCTAAGCTTGCATGTTTTTTTTACAAAATCCTTCAATTTTCATCGTTCATGACGGAGAAATGGTAGTGGAACTTTGGTTTGATCTATTATCTTCAAGAGTTATATAGATGATTTTTTCTGTAAGGCTTTCCACATCAAAACTCTATTTCGCATAAACTAAGTACACAAAAACCAAACATTATAAACCATTCAAATTATGAGAAGTTTACCAAAAATAATTATGAAAAAGAAATAAAACAATAGTACCATGTCACTTAAAAATAATTTACCTCCTTTTTCAAATAGGGAAATGGGTTTTGGGTTCCAGTAGTAATGGAATCCGGGAAGGAGAAGAACTCGAGCGAAACAGAGAGAATCCAGGAATCCGAGTCAACATGTCGTGTAAGAAATTGACAGGCATAAATGTCCCCCCCTCAAGCTTGACCCCGCACAACGCAAGCTAACGTTTATGATTTCAGAAACATTTCCAGAACGAGAACAAGGGTTTTCCCCTCATTGTATATATATAGCTTAAGAAATTCGAACTTAGGACTATCTACTTGAGAGCTAAAACCGTAATAATCAAATGAATAAACTAAATGTTGGCCTACAACCAACATTGATTTTAAATGTTTCACCGTTGCAAATCAGAAAACAGAGAGAGACTTTCAAGCTCGGCACGTCTTTTAGCCGCCCTTCTGAAAGGTTTCCGATTTCGCCACCATAAACGTTCTATCCCACTAGAACACCTAAAACTATTGTTGGGCTCCCTAATTGCAAGCATCTTTTGTGCTATAACGGACTCTGCCTTCTTTGGGTTCGTCCGGCGCTTTGTGTGCGTAGGAGAGGGCGTTTTGGGCTCTACAGATTTTGCATCGGTACATCTGCGCAAGGAAGCATTTTGGGAGAACCAGTTATTGAACACGCATACTAGTAATCGAAAAAGGATACAGTTAAATTTGAGGAGACCAGGCTGACCTCTCTTGATCCACCGCGGGTTCAGCAGACAACTCTTCTGCTAGAGGCTGACATGCAGGGCATATGTAAGTCTTTGGCGTGGAACGCAGCTTTATGCAATTGAAGTGATACCACTCATCACATTGGTCACACGCAATCATTGCTCGCTGATCATACGGCTTTCGACATATGCAATAAAGCATACTCCGAGCTTTCAACAACTGGAACCGGTAAGCATTGTTTTAGGGTGGGTCAGAGATCCAGCATAGTTTATTAACAAAAGGCCACATCACACAATTAAGACGAAAGCCTCCTCTGTTACCTTAAGTTCCTTCTCTAGACGAACAGGCAAATTTTCACCCTCCGAAACAAGTTCAAAAATTTTATCCAAGGAGAGAACCCCAGAATCGGCAACAACCTGTGCACAAAATAATGATGAAAAATAAGAGAGGAGAGGAAAGAAAAAGAGAAGATAGAGAAATCTAGGAGAGATGTGCTCCTAACCGTCTTGGCAGTATCTGCCCACTGCAAACCAATAATCCTCACTTCTGTAAGTTTCTGCCAATAGTAATCTTCAGGTGGAATGTTTAAGGCAGCTCCCTAAACATTAAAGAAAAAATAAATACATGCATGAACATTATCTAGGGCAAAAATAGAGGATATTCTTTCCCACTAAATTGTTTTACTTGATAAAGGTTTCCTATTATGGGACAATCATGAGTGACCTCACATCGGAACTTTTGTTTTTGCCTCAAAAAGTTGAAGTTCACTGTTTTAAGTGCTTCTATTATTTCTTTAGATTCTAAAAGCAAAAAACCTAGCCACCATTTCTCGGTATCCAGTACTCATGCACAAGTAAAGAAATTCTCGATCTAAAACAACCAATTGTTGGAAAATTATTTTTCCATCCTAGGGTTAGATTAAAGAATTCACCAGAAAAGATAGAGAAATTGTTCATCTATACCAGCAGCACATACCTCTTTTAACTGCTGCTGAATCTGTTGGATTGTGGGCTTTTGTGAACCCTCCAATAACCTGTTGACTCTGACTTTCCATGAGTATCTTGATAAGGCCAACATAAGGTTGCTATCCCCTTCATGATCATGCACACCTTGAATTTCTCTGGCCTGTATAACAAAAACAAATTCAGTCACGAAGACTCACCAACTACTGCCTACATCAAGGTCATTCCCATCAACAGAAAATACCAAGACTAGCTATTCACCTTTTTTTTTCTTTTCAATTTCCGAAAGACCAGTTTTCTAACAACATACCTAGCAAATTCCAACCCAAAGGTATTTATTACTTATTAAAGATGGCAAAGCCAGAGGGTCCATCACATTTTTTTTTATCTAATAATAAAAAGTTCCGACACTACAACGAAAATGCTCCTTAAGATACCTTTAAAGCCGTGGTTAGCTTTTCAGAGATGACACTGAGATCTTTATCAGAATAAGCTAACGTAAAATCCACTATTTCTGTCAACCGAGATTTGCATGCCAGAGCTTGCTTCAAATTTATTTTCAGCACCTCTCTTTCTTCAATACTGAAAATACAAATCAATGTCAATAATTCCAATAACTTCAAGATCAACATATGAATAAACAAGTAGCTTCAAGGAGTGCATCCATAATACACTTCATTACCGAACACAGAAGTCTGCGTCACCGGATAGATGTTCAATAATTTTTTTCAGTTCTGGCCGCACCCCTCCAAATATCTGTACAACGTAAAAGGGATATTAATATAGATATCAAACATATAGTCTTCCTTACAGAATATGCTAAACAAACTAATACATACCGGAGAACTGCGTCCATTTTGAGAAGTTGTTCCAGATACCAGATGTCGGCAACATCGGCACACATATTCTGCATGTTTTCCATCAATTATGGAAGACCCTAGACACCCCAAATGGTAGCTGTTCATATAAAAGATATCAAGTTATCTATAACAGGGGGAGAGTTTACGGGAATTGTGTTTCTTGCTTAAAATTCTTAAGTAAAAACAAGTGATTGTGCAGAAATAAGATTGAAATATCAACCCAATGTGAAACAATTAAGTACTAGTAATAACATGAAAGGATGAAGGACCGCAAAAGTTTACAATAGCAATAAATACCTTACCAGTCCTTGCATGAAGAACAAGTAAGAAATTCTTGATCCAGAGAACCACTGGAGCAGCAAGCAAAGGAACTACTCTCTTTCAAGCCATGTGGCTTCTCATATATGCGCATACATCGATCTAGAGTCTGTCCCATCTGTGAATCAATAACAACGATTTAAGTCCGCACAGAAAACATTACAATTAAAAGCAATAAATTACAAAGAGTTTTAGCTGAAACCTTTTCTAAACCGCCAAGCAATGAATTATCATCTTCCACTACTACCCTGACAATATCCATGCACTGTCGTTTCCAACTCTCAACCCTTTCAACTTCAGATACAATCAAATCTCGCTCTGTGCAACTGAAAGCAGCAGAAACTCCAAGTTCCTGAATGCAATTGAATCATATTAGGCATGTTTTCAGGAATTTAAGTACATAATCGAATGTAACTTAACAATCAATACCACACGACAAGAGAAAGCAGGCAAAAATTATATAACATTGACCAAGCCAAAGTGTTGTACTCTTCAACAATCGTAGAAGTCATCAGTTATAATCAACCATCAAATATGCTGAGATATTAACATTAAAACTACAAATAAAGACATTGACTCAAAGATGAACTGCAAGATAACAAAATTGAACTTTGTCATTTCTAAAGTACTTAAGCATGTACAAGCGCACAAACCGACATCATACCTTTAGCTGCAATGTTAGAGACCAAGATCGTTCTTCTGGCCTTAGGCTGAAGAGTTGATGCACTTGTTCAAGCCAGGACCTACAATACATTTAAAATCACTTATTATAAATCATACTGTTAATGCAAGAGAGCCAATATGAATTGAAAATTGTGTAAGTTTTAATCCCCACATTGAAAACCCAGAAACCAAGTTTTTTTTTGTTTTGTTACCCAATTGGTTACACGCTTATAGGCCAAATGGTTTTCCATTCCCTTGAACTGATCAAAATGGAAAAAGGTACAATACATCAGACCGCCCAAAGAGGTCATAATTTGATATGAGCAGAAAACAAGCCACTGAATCAGGCAGCACCCCTGAAGTTCTAGTATACAAGTTTTAAGGACCAATTCATTCCAAGAGTTCTCTTTCCTTCAACTTGATAACTAAACATCAAAACATTTCTTAATACACTAAATCGCGACACAACTTTTATTTCTACCTAGTAGAAGTAGAACCAACCTACTATTACCAAATAATATGTAAACAAATTTGGAAAATAAGAACTTTTCTTTTTTCTAAAGAAACCATTTTGCAGTGACAATAGTAATTAAAAAACACGTTTTCTCAAACACTCATATTATTAGCCTCATTTTCATATTCTGCAACAGCCTGGACTTGTAGCATGCATACTAAGTCCTTGAAATTTTTTCCCGAACTCCTCCCGCATATATATCTACTTATCAAGTAATGCACTTCAGTTTAAAATGTGAAGGTAAAACAATGAACAGGTCAAAGAAACTGCAAGCTCACTTGTGTTTCTGAATAGCACATTCAAGTTGACCAACCATCAATGGGAAGGAGACACCAATACTCTGCAAAAGAAGATGGTACAGTTTAGTAAATCAAGTATAAAAATATCCATGCATAGAATTGATTTGAAAAATTACCAAAAAATAAAAGCACCTGAGATTTAGCTAGTACTTCTTCAGCTTCACTTAACATGTGTCTTTCAGAATTGCATGGTGCAGAAATAACCTTTGTAGCATGCTCAAGCCATTTGAGCCCTTCAACCAACAAGCCCCACAATGCACTAGGGGCATTTGTACCATATAAATTTCCTGCAGCACTCACCAAATCTTCAACATCCTACAACAGAAATGACAAGTCTCCATAAAATTGCCAATCAGAAAGGCATTGTACAGAAAGTTCATACATTGTTAAAACAAAGCACATGAAAACCAAGCAAGACCAAGATAGCATCCTCGTTATTCCACCACTAGTACCAAGGGTAGCTTAAAAATCACAGGGACTCTTTTTAAGTTGGCCTATACAATATCTATTCACTCTTGCTTAGCAGCTTGTGCCTTGCATTCATTCTGATTGTGGTGGGTTGAGACTTGGAGTGTCATTTCATTTAGGGCAAATATTAACTCTTCCTAATTCCTATTCTTTTTCTCAGATCTCATCTATGTCGTCTCTCCCTTCTCTTTGATTGAAAAAATGAACAATAAAAGACGAAAAGCAAAGCTTCTGCGAAACACGCTTCTAGTGGTATGGAAAAGTAGTTGGAGTCTTGGATGCAATGGACAAACATTGATACACTTTTTATGATGTGTCGGACAAACATTGATAGACTCCTTGTGCTGTGTCTTGGTCTATCCTATTCTCCATCATGTACTTATTACATTAATTGGTACCGAACCTGGTTGCTACTCTACCGCTAGATGCATTTTATTATTCTAATCAAAGGAAGAAGAAGTAGAGGAGATGCTCTACACTGCAAAAATTTTGAGACTAAGAAGTGTAAATTTCAAGCACTGCAGAGATTTAGCAATTGTCCGTGGAACTTGAAGGTGAAATGTTAGTACTAGGGAGCATGGAGGATGAAGTCATGGGTATATTAACGAGTCTGGTGATAACTCTGCCAGCAGTCATAACTGGATGTGGTAGGAAATGCAAGGGAAAAGTGGTTATACAACCACAACTAAAACTTAAGCATCATGTTGTACGATCACTATTGCAAATTCATCCGAAGACATAAATTTGATTACTATTGGAGCATGAAGTATTACCTCAAGAGGAGGAACTCCAGAGCAGAAAGAAAGAGCCTTCTTACACCATTGCAGCACAGAACAAGCCTCCTTAAGTTTCACAAGCTCGCTAAAGTCAAAAGAAAGAGATAAACCAGTGCTTTCCAAGGATTCGATTCTTGCAATTAGATGTTCAATCTTGGAAAGAAGACCATCTCTTGTTCCATCACCAATGATCCTAATATCAAATAGGCACCTTGTATCTTGCAGTAGAGAGCAAGCATCATTCTCCCATTCCTTACAGTTCATCAAAACAGTCTCAAGCATCCTTATTTCTTTCAAAGAAACCTTCAGATGCTTTGACTCGGAAACTAATTCCTACAACATTAAACCATATTGTTATCTAGGTCTATCAATCTTTAGCAAAGAAAACAAACAGGAGACGTTGAGAACCTTCAAGGTGTCGACATTCAGCAAAGAACTTGAAACAGATACCAAAGGAAAACAAGTCATTAAAAATGGCTTTGAGCTCCTTAACCAGATCATAGCCTTTGATAGTGCATCCTTGACATCAAGGAGAGGAGATAAATTCACATGTATGTCTTCCGAACTCCTAAAACATTAAAACTCAATTATTAGAACCAGCAAAGGAACTTATCCACGAACACCCATATGGTAAAAAAATGTAAAGCATGTAGAAAACCTGATAACATCTTCAAAGTCAGATATCTGAGCCTCATGTGCAAGGATATGTTTCGCTCTTTCCTCCCATAGCGTTGCAGCATCAAACACTTCAGACATATCAACGAATAACTTCTCCCCCTCAATACGTAACCTGACAGAGAACACAAATTGATCAAGGGTTAATGCAAATACAATCCATTCTCTAGTATCACACTTGTACCAGGGATCAAGGTAACGGTACATACATTCTTGCCTCCATCATCACTTCTTGAATGAAGTCCAGAGACAATTTAGTATCTCGCATCTGCATATATTCCAAGTAAATTATATGCATTTGGGTGTCTATTAGGATTCAAGCACAAAAAACAAGTGAAACTACATAGGAGCAGGCCAGAAGGGGGAGGGATGGATACCCGTGGGCTAGCTTAGGCCCACTTAACTTGTCGTTGTGTACATACTGCAAGTTTGCAACGTTGCATGCACAAAAACTCACATAGACACAAATCCAGTGGGCCTAAGCTAATCCCATTGGGTTACCCACGACCATCTATAGAGGTAGGGAGGGAAGGAGACGAATTACATAATAATAGTAACTTACCCTCAGCGCCTTTTCCCTGCACTGAGCCTTCTTCAACTCAAACTCTACGATAGACAACTGATCAACTGATAAATAAAAAAACCCAATGTTAGCAACAAGAGAGGGCTCTTTCTTATGACTGCTGAAAAAGTCAACATATTCCAGAACCTTTAATTCTCAAAGATGCTCCATCTGTTAAAATGAGCATTAACTCATTAACTACATTTTGATCCTCCCTTTCGTGAATGTTCACAAGAACAGCATTAAGAAGAGAAATCCAAGAAACAGCATCAGTGTGGTACTGCCTCAGAAGCTTCAGCTCTGGTGTGTTAACAGTAAAACCATCCAATTCTTTCAGAAACACCTCAACATCCTGCAGAAGCCATGTATTCATAAGTACAAGTACTTTAAATCATGCAAATCATTGGGGTAGCCTATTAACCGTATGACTAACCTCAAGGATAATAGGACCTTTCAAAATTTCACCACATCGAGCATGACATGATTCAGCCTTCCTTAACAGATCCGAAAGCCTATCTGTGTCTGGGAGTTCAACTTGGAGCTCTGAAATCTGTTTATTAGATTCAATTTTATGATCCCAACCAACAAAAAAAAAAAAAGAACAAAAAAAAGGAACTATTAGTCACAACGTAAGAGATTTAAACAAAACACAGAGTTCGGCAACAGAACAGCATGCCAATCATCATTACCTCTGATTTCAAATTGTAAACAACATCAATCTCAATTGCAGCAGTACGTGTCTCTGAGATACATTTTCTTATGCCTTCCATCAAGACCTGCCCAGATAATGAAGCCAGATTATAAACATTAGCTTGCCATATACGAGAATACGTTATAGCTCAAATTATTTTTAACTCGGGTTTTGGTAGAATTTGAGTCCAAATAAAGTAAACTACCTTTGCTGATGAAATTCTTTGTAGTAAATTTTCACTTTCATTCACACAGACTGGAAGCTCACAGGCTCTGGAATACAACAATTCCAACTCTGATAGCTGGAAGGAAAATTGTAAACAAATGTTAATCCTTATGAATGAAGTCAAATGAGATCACATTGTAATCGATTAGTGCTATTATTGTACAGCAGACAATAGAGACACTGCCTACTTTCTGCAAGTACATGTATGACCAGAGAAAAAAGTGAATTTCTTGAGCTTTGCTCTGGCCCTGGCCCTTTTCTTCACATTAGTATTGTTAGAACACTGTTAGATAAACTCATGAGAGAATAGACAGAAAAACAGAAAAATACCTTTGGGCATGATGACATAGCAGATTCAATTTCCTGTATCAACACCTTTGCCTTTTCAGTGTAGCCCTGTATCACAGAATCACACCCCTGGTAAGAGTCTTAGTTGGCAAGGCCCAGGATAAGACAAACTAACAATTACACCCACTCACAAAACTGTAACCTTCAAAATATGATGCCCAGTCTCGTGACAGGGCACCGCATCAAAACTCAGCAACTCATTGATATAATCCAAGTGAACTTTCTCTCCATTGTTTCCACGATGAGATGACCAAGTCTCAAGTTTAGATAGACAATCTCTTACACCTTCAGCCCATATCTGAAATCTGATCAAATTCTTGATCGTTTCCCGCACCTATATTTCAATGTGAATGTAAATGAGCATAGGTGAAATTTCAGAACAAAACAGAAGATAAAAAGCAGTTGAAACTCACAGGATTCATCTCTGAGCCAGCCCAAAGAAACTGTTCAGCTTCTTTTAATAAAGACACATACTCATCTCTTGAAAACAGATTCTGAGAAATCTTGCATGAGCGCAAAAGCCATTGTTCTGCAAGTTGAGCAAAAGTAGCATGGCCCCCCCTTTCACCTACATGCATTGCATGGCCTCAGAAGCAGTCTAAAAAACCCACATACTAATTACATCAAATTGTAGGCACCACATTCGTTGACTAAGAACCAGTTAATGTTAAAAATAACGCAGACATTCTTAGAAAGAAATACAGATCAACATTAAAAACCAAAATGATAGCATGATAGCCAACATAACATTATTGATTAGTCAAGATAAAAAAATCCAACCTTTTTTGTCAAAGCCGTTGGTTCATCAGGGAATGAGGTTTGCCTTCTTATAGTCCTACTTTGTGTTGTCTCCCCAAAACAATGTTTATCCATTTCAAGCACCAATTCATGCAACTCTGCCAGAGAATGACGATACAAAAGACGGTGTCTCTTGGATTTGCATTCACAAAGGTGTTCCGAATGCTGCACAAAAGGCAAAGTATTTTGTGAGGATAAAGCATATGAGTTGAATAGACAGACTTCCAAGTACCAGGTTCAACCATGTTCATAACTTGATTTTACATGGTAAATAGTCATCATTATAATTTAGTTAGTACGAGAGAATTCTTAACAAGGTAAGGATAAGAAAACAAAATTATCGACTCTGGGTTATAGAGATCAGGTAATTAACATCAACTATTAAACACCTAATAAGAACAGAAAAGAAAACAAAAGAGTCGGATTTATCATCAAAACTAAAAACTTCCAACCAAGTAATCTGCACTCTGACTTGATACCCCGAAACAATGAGAAAATCTACTTACAAATATTATACATATCTTTGTTAGGATGTTAAAAGATTAAGGGACAAGAATCATGTGCAATAGATTATATAATATACTTGAAAATTATTTGACTCTTGTCCTCAATCCAACTACATAAAAATGGAATGCATCTAAGATTATATCATTCTTTTTCCTTCCTCTCATCTTTCCCTTCTGCTAAACAAAAGAATCAGGGAAACTTTGTATCTTTGCTTTTATTTCCATTAGTCCACCTCATCATGTATTCATTTCACTCCATCCTTCTTACCAAACAGTGTACTGAAAGTTGAATAAATACTATCTAGGTGATCTGTCATTGCATAATCTCCATCAACTTTAAATAATTGGGAAAAAATCTCCAAAAGAACAATTATGCAAACATGTGCTTTTATTTTTCTCCATTCCAACTTTTCTTACAGAATAATCCCACACAAGATTTATAAGCATAGGTTAGAATCATAACTTATGTCCAAATTGAACTACACACATAAATACTAAACAGAGTGAGGATTCGAAACAGATTCTGAGAATCACATACCTCTAGACATACAAATGCAGATGGCCTACAACAACAAACAACAGCAGAAAGAAAAAGATACTGTTGGCATATAATGCATGTAGGGTCCTACAAAAAAACAGCAGGAAATATCATTATCATCTGAAAATATTAAATTTGCAAAGCATATGCCCAAACACAAGGTTGTAATGCATTATGCAAGTACCTCTTCGGTACCAACATATTCAGGGCATTTACGAGAGGACATAATGGATGATCCGATGATTCCTTTTCTCCAAAGCCTCTCCCTCCAAGTTTTTTCCTTGCTGTAGATTCTTGTCAATTCTTTCTTCAAATAAGTTGACACTCTGCTGTCACAGTCACTCTGCTAAACCAAAACAAGATTAAGCTCACGGGACCTATAATTCAGTTAAGTGACTGGCAAAAGAATTTAAAGGGAGAAAGGAAGTCAATAAACAATGTTGACGCAAGACAACTGCTTTTGCAGCATTTATGGACTGAAAGAATGCCACATTACAACAAACAAATAATTTGATAATCAGACGTGAAAATCTTTTCTAACAATGTACATTGACATGAGTAAGCTGTGTAGCCCAATTGCTATCCAGTGAACATTATTATGCCCTTCAATCCACATTATGATAGCTTCATAACCCAAGGGCTACTCCAATACAATATAGCTTCATAACTGCAGAGTTTTGCTTATTTTTATATGAGCTCACTGAAGATTATGGAAACTTCCACTACACAACATAGCCTGTAATAGCATCCCATCTAAAATTTGAACATTTACAGAGAGATATAAAATGAAAGTTATTCAACAGGTATAACATCACAAATTTTATTAGCAAGCAAACAGGACTTGCATTTGTGTATCATTAAACAACACAATACAAGGTTAAAGTTGTACAGCTGAACCTGGAAAAGACTTGTATAGATTGACAAAGATCTGAGAATATCAGATTGTGAACCACAGATAGCTTGGTCCCCCAAACTTCTAGCCAAAACCCAAAACACCAAGCAAATACTTGATATCAAACACTGAATTGGCTAGCTAGTTTAAGGTATTTGTCGTACACATGCAAATAGTAAAGCATACGATGTCCTATCACTAAAATTAACCTTGGCTAGCACGCAAACAAGCTCCTCGTGAGACAGAATGGCAGTTTTGTGATAAAGCTGATACAGCCCTGCTCCAAACCCACCATGAGGTAGCCAGTCCGCTGGAGCAAAATTGACAGCTTCTGCACAATTCAAACCTGAAAATGCCAGAGCCAATGCGTTATCCCCTGCGCAGGAATTAACTGAACACTACATCATCTGACCACTATCAACTTGTAAAGCAAAATGCCATACCAAGATTAAAGCCTCCATGGTAAGATCTGGGGAAGGTGATGACAAAATTCCCAGTCTCCTAGCAGAGAGCAAGTGTGAAAAGAACATCAACAATTACTAAAAATACCAGATGAATAATTTAAAATTGGTACGTGTATAATTAAAGTTGAAAAGAAAACCCTAAATACAGTTATGAATATATTGATAGACAAAAACCTGTAGCACACTATATACTGGAACTCCATTCTCTTGCAAAACAGATGGATTTAACATGGTGACAAGCTGAAAGAGTAAATCAGGTTGTGCATCAAAAAGATCAGGAAGACTGTTGCGCATCACCTACAGCACGTAAGTAAAAATTGTGCTTATAATTCAGCATCAGAAAAACACCATTTGGTTTGGCATTGAATTGAACAACCAACGCAAGCATTGGTAAATTTGAAAGGTTACAGTAATCAGCAGAGAACTACAGCACACTACAATTAAATACAAATCAAATTCATTCCCTTGCCACAATAATGTACTATAGAAATTCCCAATGATAAAAACAATGAATTACGAGAAGGATACCACAAATGAGAAAAAGCTGATATTCTAAGAACAAATACCAAACCCCAAAATAAATGAAAAAAATGAAAGAGCTACCTTCTCAAATGCACTGGCTTCCCTACCAGGGACGCTGTACCAACATTTTGGCTCTCCCCTGAGAAAACAATAGAAAGCTAACATTCAAATCATCCACTTTAAGTTACACAAAAAGAAAAAATATTTGATTTCTGAAAAAGAAAAGGGAAAACTCATCCACTACACAGAGACAACAAAAGAAATATTTCGACCATTGTTTTTTCTTAAATATAAGCAAAAGTCTGAAGGTAATCAAACAGCATAGCCTCATAAGTCTACCTACAAATCGCTTTCAACTATGAAACACAACTTTCCAAACTAGTTCGGCAAGAGGTGCAAAATTAGTTTTTACTTGATCAGCGAAACTAAAAATAGAAATGACTCGCCACTATAAGACAACCACAATCAGATAATACTAGGACATGGCCGAGGTTAAATATTATTTCAGTACTCAATTAACCCAAGGTGCATGATTGGAAGCTGACAAATGGACAGGTTACAGAAATCCATAATCAAATTTAATATCAAACTAGTATTGTCAGCCAGATATACTTTGATGTGATAACAATTTCACCAATGAATCTACTTTTATGTTGACTGAATTCTGCACTGGGAATAATCATCACAAAAGATACATTACTTCCAAAATTGTATTTTGTAAGTGGTGCACATATGTTTCCTGAAAATGCTGTCCTCTCTGTGGTTATAACCGAAGATCTTGTTCAAAAGTCATCTTTCTTTTGAATTCTTTTAATGCAGAGTATCAACAGGTGGACAGAATTTTTATTATTATTTTCAAAGGATTCCATGGGGGGAAAAACAAGTGAATCATGTCTTTCTTTTCTTTTATGAGGGTAATGAGGGTATCTCCTCATCTTCCCTTTCATGTTTCTTAACCCTTGTTATTGTTGTACTTTTATGCACAAATGGAAGCAAATTCTAACAAAGTATCAAATATCAACATTGTAAACGAAAACGAAGAAACAAACAATCTCAGAATAAGAACACAAGAGATTAACGTGGTTTGACATAAAGCCTACGTCCACAGGCGAAGCACGGTGAAAATTTTCACTAAACAAACGGAGATTACCATAGAGTGGTTAACTCTCACAACCCAAATCTCGCAAATTACAAACCCTAAACCAAATGAGTAGAGAACCCCAAACAAACAGAGAAGATTGTTCCAAATTGGTCTCTAACTCTCAAACTCAAAAATTGACTCTCACCAAAATGCAAAACAAATAAGCCATGAATTTGCCACACTCTCCTGACTCCAAACAGTAACCTCCGCCCAAAACCCAAAAGAGAAAACTCTCTAAACCAATGGTGAGGCGCACAAAATAAACTAACCCTAAAGTCCTATTTATAGTGCATAGAACTTAGGTTATAAGGAGAATCATAATCCTAATTGGAAGTAAATCCAAATCCTAATCAAATAGATAATTAACAAAATCTCTCCACCAAGCAAGGAATCCAACCAAGAAGTCAAACCCAAACCCAAACCCAAATAGGACACCAAAACGAAATAGGTAACACAAACTTAATTTCTACATCATCCTGTTTTTGAGCCGTAAATCACAACAGTTATTAGCTCCTCCATATTTCTTTGCTGGCCCCAAATATTTTCTCTCAGTCACACACACACTTACACACAAACCAATAGGAGTTGACATCCCATCTTGCTCCATGGAATGTGCACATGTTTACAACTCAAAGCCACTAATAATCATCTTACATGGATAATTATTATGCATTTGTAGCTAAAATTATCTCGTATATAATACTAAAAAATACACAAGATATACATACCAGTGATGATAATTCATTGAGTAAAAACAATGATCTTCAAAATGCCAGCAAAAAGATGAGAACAGCATCCCAACATACAGCCAAGGAACCATAACACCAGCAATGTTATGATGAACAGCTCTAAGCACTGATCCTTTCAGTTTGGGTAAGTTATTGAGATTCCATGGGCTCCTACAGTATTCATCCCATATCTTGGCCTCAGTTGATTCTGGTTTCTGGTCATTTACACGTGGAAACCCACTCCCATACATGGAAGCATCCAAGTCACTGCCATACATAACTTCCACCTCACCGGCTGAACCCTCCACAATTTCCCAAAACTTTTTCTCTAATTGAACCCTTGATGCAGATCCTGACCCAAACCATTTCCTCTTGGCACGATTAGCCATACGCCTAAAAACTTCCAGTGAAAACTGCTTACCAGGCACGAAGCCAAAACTATCCTTGTCGGAATTCAAGCATTCCAAGCAATACCAATTCCCTGGTGGAACCTGCTTCAATGGAGGAGACAGACAATAAATGTGCCACCCCTTATTACACCTATCACACAAAAGCATCACTTCACCGTGCAAGCCACTTACGCATTGTTCACATATCTGATCATGCTCCTCATCCTCCTTCTCTGCCTTACTGACCTTAACCTTCCCACCATCCTTAGTGATTCGCCTCCTTTTGGAGCTGGAACATTCAAAACTCTGTTCAACCCTCTTCTCCACAGGCATACCCCTCTTATATCGTCTGGCCCCCTCTCTGTTCAGCTTGTTATAATACTTTTCATAATCATACAAATGGTCACGATACAGTTGACACAATACATGCTTCGAGCACTCCGAAATCCCTTTCACCAGCCTCACAAAACGAGCAACCTCCCCCCACTTCTTCCCCTTCACAACCTTATCATACCCTCCATATCGCTTCACAGCATTAAACAACTTACACAAATCCAACTCCTCCCCTTGGAAAACCACCCTCTTCCGCAACTTCTTCCTGCAACGGTCCTCCAAAAACCTATTGTACTCCAACTCAAAAGTCTTGGAATCGCACGACGCAGGGCGCACCTGCAGCTGGTGAATGGCCTGCGTCTTTGTGGGAAATGTAAACGAATCCAAATCCAACGCAAATGGGGGTTTCCAGCTCTTCGGTGGAACTATCCTACAAATCCCATACGCCTCGGCCTCGGGCCTGATCTTATAAATATACTCCAAAGGGGCTCTAAATTCATCCTCAGTAGGGTAATACACAGGTGCAGATGGAATATTCAATGATCCAGATGATGAAACACTCAAAGTTTGACCTACAACTCCCTTCTCCACATCCCTAGGTTTTCCTTTCCCCATTAACACCACCACACAGATACACACAACCTATACATATAGCTACCTACATAAACATACAATTAAATTTGGATTAATTAAATTAAATTAACATTGCAGTACTGAAATTCGAATTCGAGTGGTTTTAGGGCTTTGCAGAGCGTACCCTTGTAGTAAACTGAGACTGGCGAGTGTATTTCAGAGAGACAAGAAGGAGAGGGTGTGGTTTCTGAGTTTCGTGCGAAAACTATCAAGTGTTGTTGAAAGGAAAGACGCAGAATTACAAATTAGCGCCTGAAAATGGTAAAATTTACGAGAATGGTAACTCTATCTCTTCTCCTCCTTCTTGTTTTATTTTTTATTTTTTATTTTTTATTTTTTCTTTAAAGATAAAGAGTCTCCCTTAAGTGGGCCTAGCCGTACTATTGTCTTTGTTATGTTTGTCTCGTTTGGTCTTTTTCCGCGGCTTGCGTCGGGAGAGGGTTGTTTGGGGAATCTACACGCGCTGGGGGATCGGGTGGCTGAGCGTGTAGTATGGGATTTGATCGACGGTCAGCATTCAGGCGTTGGTTTTGTTTTTGGAGAACCAGGCGTTGGTTTTGCTCTTGGTTTGAGAGCGTGTTTGGTTGCACGTGTGTCGAAGCAACCGGACTGCTGTCCCCTTCCTTCTTTTATCTAATTTAGAGCTAGTTTGGTATTACTGTGCTTTAAAAAAAAATTATTTCTACTGTACTTTAAGAATAAGCTCATTTTTGCTATTTCACGCTTTCAGTTTTTTCACCTAAAACTGTGAAAATAAGCTGTTTTTAATTGTTTACCAAACATTTTTTTGAGCTCAGTTTTTTTTATACTCACTTTTTATAAAAGCACCTCAGTACCAAACCAACCCTTAGTGGGGCAGTTCCAAATTCCAACTTTACCACACTATACCTACTAGTCTTTTTACACGCGTAGTTTTTTATTACGCAATGCTACGTGTGATTTAAATGTATTTATTTACGTATTGTTTTTGCGTGTGGACTTGTCTTTTTTTTTTTTTTTTTTTAACCAATGGCGTTAGTCAAGACTCACATATTTTTGTTTTATTTTTGTGCATAACTATCAATTTACCAAGAAATTTTGTGTGCAAGATTCACATTTCAACTTTTTTTTAGCAATGAAGTTTTAGGCTAACTTTCGTGTATACTATAGTTTTTTCTTTTATTCACTCGATGTGTACATCTAAAATTTAGTATCTTTATTGTGACAAAAGTGAAATAAGAATTCTTTAAGATATAGACATCATGGTCTGTGTAGTGATAAAATGAAATAAGTAACAAATAGTTGCTTAGAAGGTTTAGAAATAACATGATATTACAGTATGTCGCGTGGTATACTTGAATGGGATATCATGCTATTACATTTACTTTGCCCATTTGCCTAGAAGAGGAACATGGAAAGAACCTGGCATATTGGATGGCTAACATGAGTCCACTCTCCACTTTTCATCTTTTACATTAATTATCAATTTAATCAAACTATAGTGCACAACACATTAGTCTTTTTTTATTGTTCTTTACGTGCAACAACACAGTTCATAGCGAATGTACTTTGAATAATTACTTTTCCTACAACAATTACCACAATCTAGACCCTAACAACTCATCAACACATTGTGTTCAGTGAGGCAGTAAAAAAAACGACTACCTTGGTTGTTAGATGTTTAAGCTAATAAGCAAGCTAGACATCGATATTTCAAAATCCCATACATTGGCCTCAATGGTTCTCTTTTTTTTTTTTTTTTTTTTTTTTTTTTTTGTGGAAAAGAGGAAATGCATTCCTAGGCAACAGCCACCACATACAAAGAAAGCTAGAGAAAACTGACCAACATAACACAAGCAAGCGAGAAGGGGAATACAAAATATGCTACTAAACTAGGCTAACACGTCTTCTTCATCCCACAACAATCATATCTAAGAAGGAGGACATGGCAAGCCATCTTTGTTCAAAATTCTCACCAAGGATGATGGGGGTCTGACAACCCAAATGGAATTGCTCATCTCCACACCACTAAATCTAGCGACAAAGTTCGCTGCTTCATTCACTGATCTTGCCACCTAAGACCAAATGCAATTTTGAAAACGACACCCTATTTGCAGTATGCAACTTAAAATAGGATATATCTCCCAGCTGCAGTTTTCAGCACCTCCATTTAAGTAAGAAATCATTTGTTTGTAATCAGATTCCACCACTATTTGAGAATAGTTGCTTTGTTGAGCCAAAAAACAACCTTCAAGGATCGCCAAAGCCTCAACCATGGTTGCACTGGATGCATGCACTTCCTTTCTTATAACCTTTATACACATATTCCTTAAGTCTCTCACAACACCTACATAACCTATTGAAGCCCCCACTTTCCAACTTGCATCAACATTAATTTTTATCATTTGGGAGGAGGGTGGAGACCAGGGCCGGTCCTGCTGAACTATTTACCTTGCTCCTCTCTAGGTTGAATTCCTTTCCTTTGCCTTCATAAACAGAGCATAAGCACATTGAATGGCTTTAACAGTTTTTGCATAGAAGAATGAGGTTTGTGATTAAAAATTGACTTACATCGGGTTTTCTAGATGTGCCCACAAGTGAAAGCCAATAGCGTTCGAATTCTCGCCCTCTCTGCCTTATCCCCGAAATTCTCCTTGAACATTTTTAAAAGCCAAGCATCAAAAGTAGTAATAGAATTCCTATCAACTTTATAATTCAGTAAGGCTCCAAACCAGGCCAAATCAACCCAGGGACAAAAAAACAAAAGATGTTCTACAGATTCCTCATACTCATTGTAAATCGGACAAAGGGGTGCATTAGCACACCTTCTTTTAGAAAGGTTTAGTTGCGTAGCAATGACAACTTTGATTCATTTCCATAACAAGTTTTGAATTTTAGAAAGGGCCTCCAGTCCCCAAATCCATTTCCACACCTCATGATCAATATGCCTTGAAGATAAGGGTTGTGAATTCCGTCTTATGCCATTATTGTTTTGGAGCCATCTAATCTGACAAAGTAAATCCCCCTCCTATCTGTAGACCAAATGAACCTATCATCCCTCCTAGAATCACCCACATGTATACTAGGGATTGCCCTACAATCGTCTTCAGAGGTCAAATTACGAGTTGGGTTCAACTCCCAACTTCCATCCATCATGTTAATAACCGAGGCCACAAGCATTTCTCTATCCACATCTACTTCATCGAGAGGAATTGGACGACCGCACTTAATACTTGGAACCCATTTATCAACCCAAATTTTTTTTTTACCATTCATAACTTGCCAATGCGCACTTTTTAACAACTCCCTTCCTTCAAGCAAGTTGGACCAAATCCAAGAAGCACGCCCACCTTTCTTGGCTTCCAAAAATGAGACATAAGGAAAGTATTGCTCCTTTAATACTCGAGCCCACTGAGAATTCAGATCATGGATTAATCTCTAACATTGCTTGGCAAGAAGAACAATATTAAACTCTTTTAGATTCCGGAATCCCATTCCCCCCCTCACTTTTTGAATAACTTATAGTTTCCTAACTAATCCAGTGAATTTTTCTCTCGTTTTCTCTTTACCCCCACCAAAATCTAGCAAGAGCAGCATCAATCTCATTATGTAAGGTATCCAGAAATTTGAATATGTGTTGGAGGAATATTAGAAAATATGAAAAATAACAATATAATTTCAATGATAATAATCATAAAGAAATTCACAACATCAATTATATATGAGATTAATATAAACAACTAGAGAGAAAGTTAGAATAACTGACAAACTTGGAGATTGAGGCTTGCATAAATGCAATGTCCTAAAGATAGAATTTCGCCCCTACTCTTGTGCTTGTAGTTCGGTAGGCGTCCATCTCCCAGGATTCAACAATCTATAATCCGAAGTCAAAGCACTTCAATCTTCGGACTTTGGCGAACTTTATATATTTCATACTCTCAAGACACGACTCGGAATTTGACTCACGAAGCATGAAAGAAACAAAGTGGAGAAACCCTATTTCTCAAGAGTAAAAATTAACTCTAATTTTCTATATTTAATACCAATGGTTTCATGGGTTTAAATAGAATCCAATTTCTACTTATTAAAGAGATGTAACTTTTCATCCATAAGTATACATCACTTATCAAGGAATACACCTAAACAACATAACATTTCCAAGAAATTGGTTAACAATATTTTTCATTCAATTATTAAAATTATATATTACAATATATAATTTCCAACAATCCCCCACATGAATGAAAAATTAGGAAGAATTTGAGAGTACAGACGGACAAGAGATGCATCGGGAGAGGTGTCTTTTGGACTTGAACCTACCCTAGTGAATACTTATCGGATTTACTTGGTGACGCAGTGAATATAAAATCTTGAACTGTTCACCGCAGTAGTAAATCGAGACAATAAGCAACACACATCACTAATCCTAATATATTCTGGTTCATACGGTTGTGTTCATTTTGGTCCTGAACAAATCCCGGATTCATGAGAGCTTTAGAGAATTTAGCCATCACATACTCATAGAAGCGACCCACTTCTACTCTCACATAGGTGACCACTGATTAAGAATAATCTGCTTTATTCCTCTTATTTATAAGATATCACTGTCATTAAGTACAAATATACCTCCTAAAACTTCTGCAGACAACACACTTCTTCTACCATAAGAATGAGGTATATAGTGTGTTAACTTCTTTGAATCATGCCCAACCAGTTTGCCTATTGAACTTAGACCATGGGATCTCCAATCAACTAAGTTAGGTTTCCGCTCAGCTGATTCATTAGTTGTGTTGGCTTTAGTCTCATTCCCCTCGATGATCAACTTACTCAATAGTCAAACCTTTAATAATTGGTATCACTAAGGTTGACTACTCTTATGGTGTGCACTTCCATATTATGAAATTATATTTCATACGAGAGTAGTTGTTTGACATTGTTTGAAATGTCAAGTCCTCAAAAGTATATATATGTTGGGACTTTTGTAAGTAATTTGCTAACACTAGGAAGTAGACTTCCCCCACATTTAAGGTATTTGTAGGAAGGTCTCTAACTCTTCATACCTTAAAGTTAATCATTATAAGAGATAACTGCTTTTTTATTCTCTCTCTTTTAATAAACAAATTACTCTTTACAATTTGGACATTGCGTTTAGCCCTTACTCGGCTAAATTATCACAAAGTACATTTCTGTAGCCTTAAGGCTGTATTCAATTCCATTATAGATTATGCCTTTTGCATATCCACCTATATGTACTTTGACTTTAAATTATCAAAATTCAATTAGCCAGCATCATTGAATTCAT